CTAGCAACACACCTAGCAACGGGGTCAACCACACCTAGCAACGGGGTCAACCACACCTAGCAACGGGGTCCACCACACCTAGCAACAGGGTCAACCACACCTAGCAACACACCTAGCAACGGGGTCAACCACACCTAGCAACGGGGTCAACCACACCTAGCAACACACCTAGCAACGGGGTCAACCACACGTAGCAACAGGGTCAACCACACCTAGCAACACACCTAGCAACGGGGTCAACCACACCTAGCAACAGGGTCAACCACACCTAGCAACGGAGTCAACCACACCTAGCACCCGGATCAACCACACCTAGCAACGGAGTCAACCACACCTAGCACCCGGATCAACCACACCTAGCAACGGGGTCAACCACATCTAGCAACGGGAAGTATGGAATAATCAGTGAATATTCACCTGACTAGTGGTTTTTTGTTCCCTTATCATTAATGGGCTTTTCAGAGTAAGACCCTCTGTCACTCTGGGTCGAATCTGTTTACTGATCAGGTGATTTGTGTCTTAAAGGCAGGAATGAATGTAATCAGGCTTTTATCCATTACTTCAGACTTTGAAGTCTAACCTTTATCTGTAATTTTAATTTCTCCAGGTGTGAAAACCTCAAGAGGCTTAGACAGAAGTGACCAGAAGGTAAATGATCCAGTTTAGTTTAGTTTTTTCTTCTGTAAAACAAAAGATTTAGTGAAATGTTATTACTAGAAACTTGTTCTCTCAGTCTCCATCTGTATAGAACAAATCTCCGGCTAAGACAATGAAAGTTGGATTATATTGTTGTTTTTTCTTTTAGGACGCCGATTATGAAAACTCTTCATCTGGGGATTTGATTTACATGAATGCAAAACCTGTCTGCAGGAATAAGAAGTAGATGTGAGACTGAGGACGACGAGATGAGACCCGGATTTAAACCCAGATTCTGCTTCACGCTCTGAAGCTGCAGCCCAATAAAACCTGGAATGTGTCAAACTACCTGCAGATGAAAATGAAGGAATGAACACGGAGAGTCAGTGAGAGAAATGATTTGGCTCTGAAAGGATTTTTGGGAATTGCTTCCATCACTGTTTGCTGCTTCATTGGGACTATTTATATTTGCTATTTGTTGAAAGACTTGTTTTATTTCAGTCGTCTTGCAGTTTTTGCTCCTAAGCAGCTAACATGAGTCCTGACTGGCTGATACGGCAGAACAACTTCAAGAGGTCATAGAAACATGTGGTGACGTCACTCAGTGGGCGGCTAGCTCATCATCATAAAAGACATAGGCCATCTTATTTTCAGTTAAGATGGCCGACTTCCTGTTTGTGATTTTCTTTTTTCCCTTTATCTAATTTTTCATTATTTTCTGTTAAATATTTTTCCTTTTTGTTCCTTCTTTTCCTTGATTTTCCTCTTTCTCACAGAAAATGTCCCTGGTGGGTCACCATAATTATAATGATTATTGATACATAATGTGAAGATACACAACGTATCATAGGACACATGTGCATGTGGTGTTGTTTAATTAAACAGTAAATACAAGAGTTATGTGTTAAAAAAAAAAACCCTGATATTACTACTATGTCAGAGAAACTGGTACAGATGTGTTACCTGGGAACCGATGGGCGGAGGATGATATGGTAGTTTAGTCTTCTCAACGTGACGCTGTGAAAAAGATGAGATACACGTTGGGCTTCCATTAGCATCCAACAGGAAGGTTTTTTCTTCTTCTGTGCAATAAACACACGGCATGTACAATATTTCATATGTAATACTTCAGGTGTCACTTAGCTTAAAAGGCTTTTAGCTAGCTAAGGGCTAAATAAAGGCTAGCTAAAAGCTAGGAGGACTTGCTAAAAGCTAGGACCTAAGGCTAGCTTTTAGCTTGAATTCAATACATCATAAATGGCCACAGTATCCCTTTAAACCAATCGAGAATTCTTCTAACATGCTCCATTTAACATTATGAATTTTATCAAATTACTAAATTCATTCACAAATGGCACTTAATTAAACCATATTAGTTTTTTAGCCTTAACTCAAATACAATATCCCTTTTCCTCAGACCTTTTGTATTTTAAATATCAAAATAAAAATACATAAATTTAGTTTTAGCTATTTTTAATAGCTTTTACAAATAACATTTTAACATTTTAATCGACACATTTTAGCTTTTAACTATATCCATTGGTTTGACAGAATAACAGTATTTTAACTCTTACACAAAAAGCTCGAATTACAAAATTGTAGTTTGTCTTTTTACTAATCATCAAACATAGGCAGCCATTACTTCCTCGCAGAATGTCATAACAATTCGGTTTCTCTGGTTTTTGCAATAACTCATAAAGAACTGTCCACAAATAAAGACACCAAAACAATGTCCTGAGTGTGAGAACCGTTTTGAAATGTGCAAAAGACAGTAAATTCAAAGTGAATTCAGCAGTCCCTCAGCTGTTTCTCAGCTAGCTCAACACACGTACAAAGTCTGTTAGCATTAGCAATAATTAGTCTGCAGAAATACATCCCGTTTTCAACACAAGACTAAAACTGCAAACATAATTTGACTCAGTAGTTGACTATTGATTCGATAAGATCTTCAACACTTAAAGAAAACTAATATTTATTCATCAAAAACACTTTGCTGACCTGTGATATAGAGAAACTGCGTCACGTTCAGCTTCCATTAGCATCCAGCAGGAAGGTTTGTTCTTCTTCTGTGTGCCCAACCTTCTCTATGCCACCAATGCGACGGACGCATTTTTCCTTGCAAATAAGTGATTTGCATTGAGTGAAGGAATGCAAAAGAAAACACAAGGAAAATCCACCGGATCTGGATGATACTGGTTAAACTGTGAGCCGGTCCCTCTGGAACCGGAAGCTGTTCAGAACAAGTTCAAACCTCTGATCAGGAAACACACTTTCTAAAGTGCTTCTAATGTCAGAGCAGTTTCCATGTCATTGATACATAAAAAAATAATTTAATAGCAAAAACATTGTTATACTGTAGGATTTTTTTCTCCTTTTCCCTTATACTTATATACTGTATCAGGTGTTCTGGTGAAACTGACCTCTGATGTTTAGACTATGAGTCACACACACACACACACACACACCTACACACAGACACACACACACACACACACCAATAGGTGAGAAATGTTCAGTGCTGTGACCAAGGTCACTTCTACATGTGGTGAGGAGAATCTAACTCTCAGCCCACTGAGCCACATCTGCCCTTTAGATGTATTTTCTACAGAATGACGCCAGTGAAAGGAACCAGAAGTTACTTTAGTTCCTGCTGAGGTTCTGGTGCTGCAGCAGAGGAAGGTTCAGAGCTGTGAACGGCTGCAGGTTGAAGCGGTGAAGGACTCTGCAGACTGGAGGGATGGAGGAGAGGAAGTGTGAAGCTCTCAGACTGTCTGGGGGAGGAACTGCTGCTTTATCTGACGAGGGCTGCAGGAAACCATCACAGCTTCAGTATGACCGGCGACACTTTGCTCTGCTTCTTCCTGTGTGAGTACTTCTTACTTTTCTTCATCTCAGACCAACAAACATCAACTTTAGGGTCGCTTTAATGCATAACTATACATATTTAATGCTTTTTTAACTTTTTAAATAAAAAGAAGTGTTTTTACTTTGTATATTTCTCTACTCTGAAGGAGAACTCTGAAGTTGTCCAACTGAAACTGAATTTTCTGATGTCCCTCTGGACTCAGATGTCCCTCTCATGTATTTCTGATCATCTTCATTTTCGTCCCAGTAGAAGAAAAGTTGAACATCTTCACTTCCTCCTCGTGTCTTTCTCTTTGAGCCGTCATCTCCGGACTCGGAGTCGTGTTGATTGATGCCAACCTTCATGATAAAACGTCAGCTGGTTGAATCAAACACATAAAATGGTTTTAAAAAGTCAGATACTGATGGAAAACAAGCGTTGAGTTTTAGAGACGTGGAAACGTTCACCACTGACACCAGAAGTCTGCTGCTTGGTTTGTTGCACCAAAATTTCCTGTTTGAACAAATAATCATAATTTTAATATGAATAATTTTATTTTTATCTGAACTCTAGTCATTGAGTCAGACGTCCTCACATGATGTCTAACCTAAAATATGAAGTTTATCCTATGATCTGAGTCTGAGTGTTTATTTTGACTATTAACTTTATTAGCACAAAATCAATCAATCAAATTTTATTTGTATAGCACATTTCAGCAGCAAGGCACTTCAAGGTGCTTTACAAAATTAAAGAACAAATAAAAACAGCATGTGACACTGACAAGGTCTCCAACCTTGCAGCACCAGGTTCTGTAGAAAGAGGAATAAAATAAATTAATAAATAGATGA